CTTGCTGGGGTCGTTTGACCCCAGTACTCTTTCCTGCCATGGCAGGGGGTCGGACTAGATGATCTGCCCAGGTCCCTTCTGACCCTAGAAACTATGAAACTATGCCTCAGTTGATGTTCACCTGAGTTAGTTTCCACACTTAGATTAATGTTTTTTTAACATAGATGCATTAGTAAAACATTAAGCCCATTAAAAAGGAAAGAAGGTTGTTAAACACCCATGGAATTAAGTGTTTTTAAGGAATTGGGTTGATTATAATGAGCCAGGAAGTCAAGTGACTCCCTCCCTGCCGCCTGAATAGAAATGCTGCTGCCCCTGCCAGACAGTTTGTTTTAAACTTTGGATGGGCCAGGAACCAAAGGGAGGTGCAACTATACCACTGCATCCCCCTAGATCCACCCCTGCTAAATATCTCAAATTTCTTATAGGGTTCTAGGGAGTAATTTGTCCCCTAGATAAGCAAGCAGAGCTGGAGTGGAAGTTCTTTTAATAAAGGTTGTCCAACACCTCCCATGTCTGTGAAGTTGTCCAGAATAGTTTTAATAGGCATGATTCTGCCTCAAGCAGGAGGTGGGACTAGATCAATTTTTGGTTTTTTTCAGCCAGGGTGACAAGACATCCTAGGGTGCCTTGGGATCTTTTAAAGGGTGCTGTGCAGTGCTAGGTATGTAAATACCTACATATGAGTCACGAGATAAACCCTGAGACTTCAATTAGGGATCCTTAATGTAAAAAACATTCTGCCCTGTTGTGATCTTTCAGAGTTCTTTCTAACAGAAGTATTGCTCTGTTATTTCTTCATAGTCAAAAAAGCAAGTGAAAGCTAAGAACTGGCCTTGAGTCTAAGAAAGCAGAGTACCACTGGAGTAGATGACTTCCTGAGGTCCCTTCCAGCCTTTTTTTTTTTTTTATATAATTCTGCAATACGCTTCTGCTTTAAGTTACTCATAACTTTCTTTAACTATTCAAGCTGGTCATTTCCAGGACCATGTTTGCTTCAGACTGAAGATTTGTAAGAAAAAGAAGTTTCAGCCAGAATGTCTGAGGCTGGGAAGTGAGTCACTGAGAGAGAATAGGAGCTTGTAACCTATAAACAGGGTAGCTGGAGCTTAGTATCATGAAGTGAAAGGAAAAAAGTGCTGCCCAGAGGGTTTAACCACATCCTTGCACCCTTGTGCACACATGGGTTTGCAGTCTTAATGTTCTTTTAGCCTTGATTCTCACATTTAATTAAAACAAATAACCCAGCAGCTGCCCCTTGAGCTCCGCATCAGTTATTCACAGGCATTTGCAGGCCCAGGGTCAGCTCCATCAGCTGCAGCAACAGATGGGTTGTGCCAAGCTTATACGTCTGTTAGGTAACGTCACAGAGCGCTGCAGATGAGGGTTGTGGGCAATGTAGTTTTTCTGCCTTGCATGCCCTTTTCATGCATAAACAAATGATGTCAAATTTTATTAACCTGAGTAAACTTCGTGCTTTAATCTCCTGCCAGCACATCAGATTCTTGTCTCTTTTCCTGCGGCAGGTTGACCTACCCGGCTGTCTGGGGCCTGAGTGTCTCGTTTCCCGGGCAGAGAGCAGCTGGAGGCAGTGGCATGGAAGACGGATTTTGTTGGCTGACCTGGAGTAACCCTGGGCAGCGTTGCAGTCTGGAGAACGGAAGCAGTCAGTGTCAGAGCAGTCTGTTGCGCAGCCGCAGCCAGCCCCTTGAAGAATGGATGCAGCTCTCGCTGTCCTGCTGACAGCAGTGCTGACCTTGATTATTGGGAAGCTGGTTTTGTTTCGGCTGAGATGCCCCAATGCCCCACCTTGCATCAGCGGCTGGATCCCATGGTTTGGAGTGGCGTTTCAGTTTGGGAAGGGTCCTCTGGAGTTCATAGAACAAGCTAGAGTCAAGGTAACAATGGGAAGGGTCATGTGCTACAGTGCCGGTGTGTGCAGGGGGTCCTACAGGCCAGTACTGGGGGAAAGAGAAGCTTCAGCATTAAAAGCTCCCTCACAAAATATCTTTACTCTGTTGTTGTATTTATTAAATCATAGAAGCATTGGGATGGGAGAGGTGAAGCTTGGGGCTTGCTGAGCTCTCTGGGAGTTGCTAGTGCGTTCCTCGGTAGGCTCAGTACACAGATTCTGAGTGGTACTTCTTGTGCTTCATCCTACTTGGACTCTCTACTTGCAGTTTTGCTTTATTCAGCCATGTCTCGCATGAGAGGGACACTTGAATAGTGCATTATGGTTGCAAAAGTGGTCTCTGCTATCCCTTTGCAGCTGACTACAGTGACTGTGTGCAAGAGTGCAGACATCACTATCATGAAATTAGCTCAAATGTCATGAAATGCGAAGTAATGCTAATAATTTCTGTGGCTTTTTTTGTTTGCATTCTTTTTGAGCCTTTCAAGGTTTGTGTTTCTAAGCTGTTCTCTTAAACCAGGCGTTTTATGAACTTGGGGTAAAACACTTCAGGTGAGCAACTGGACAAGGAACATGCCTGGGTTCTGCTCAGGCTATTCCAGCCATGCCACAGTCTCACTGCTCCTGTGGTTAGAAACTTTCTTTGGGTAGCTACTTTGAATAAAGCAGTGATTGAGTTGAACTAGACTGAATAAATTGAAATGAAGGAATAGTCTCTCTGCACCCACTGAAGAGGGCACAGCTCTCAGCAGGCAAATACTTTCACAACTTCTGTTTCCAGGGGTTTTGCCAGCGAGTTCCCCTAGTCCAGTAGCTTGATTTTCTTTAAAACTTTGTCAGCAAACAACATACTGCTTGAATATTATTTTTTTTGTCTTTAAATTATTTCATAGATCATAAGGTGTTGAAGCCATAATTTATTACACTTTCAAGTTTAATTCTAACTACATATATTTTAAGTGAAAAATTCTGACTTAAACCCCCACTGATTTTTTTTTTTATTAGCCCTATTATACAAGACATGCTGCAATAAAAAAAACCTGTAATCTGATCAAGTCAAAATAATTTATAGTAACAGTAAACAATACCAACAACAGAGATTTAACACCATGAGGATATGATCAAGCTATTGACATCAATAGGAGTCTTTTCCTTGACCTGACTGGTCTTTGGATGGCCCTGACCTTACAGTACAAATACAAACAAAATCCACACTGAGACCCAGGAAGAGTTCATCTTGATTAGATAAGCAGCCTGAGATAAATGGTCAAAACCGTATCTTATTAAATTTGGCTTCTTTCACAACAGGTTGTCTATAAAGTCCAGGTAAATTCAAACATAATAATCAACCTTATCTGTGCACATAAAAATGATCTTTTCTTTGCCCATGTCAGTGCTCTAACTGGGAGTAGAAAATCAAGTACAGTTCTAAGCCTATAGACTGTAGATTGGCTACAAAATCTTTTTCTTGCGTAATAATGCTGTTACTTTAAAATAGGACCTGTTGCCAAATGTCAGTGATATGTCTACCAATGTTATTGCTGGCCCTCTACTTCCTAAGATCTTTGCTGCATGTGGAAATGGAAGCTGTTTTGTCCTCAGAGTTTCTTTGCTCTTTGACAGAGCAAACGCACGTGCTGTGTTTTTTGTCATGTACTGTTTAGCGTGAGACATGTGCCCCCTTTCCTCAGTCTGAGAAACTGCAGACCTCCTATGGCCTCCAGCTTCAGGCCAGTGTCCTTTTGCTGACATGGTAGAGATTCAAATGTGTAGCTGTAGAGACTCCCTAGTTCAGCACTGACCAAAACTAAGACAAGGCCCACAGAGACTTTACCTTGGTTCCTCCTTGTTTTTATTGTTTCTCTTACCTTAATTAAAAGACATTCAGACTGAAGGTAACATGATGCCCAGAAAAATCAGCTTACTCACTCCCCCTTGTACCTGTTGTCTCTAGTGGGTTATGGAATAGAGAAAATCCCACACAACTTACCGATTCGTTTGATGCACTGGCTGGGGGAGTATTTAGTTGATTGCACGATTTCACAATGATTGCACACTTAATTCATACAACACAATTTTATTTTAAAATTCTTTGCTACACATATAACACTGCTTAGCTTTAAGAAATACCACAAACATTAAGAACACAATAACTACATATATTAGAAACAATGCTCTAAATGCACTTCCTTAAAACAATTACAATTATAACTCAAAGTTAAATTTGAATCAATACTATTATTTTTCATAATATACTTACAATCCTATAATTCCAAGAAGCCAAACATCTAGATATGCTTTCATTCCTCAGTAGTACAGTTTAATGGGTTGGCCTCAGTAGTACGGTTCAATGGGCTCGCCTCAGCAATACATTTCAATGGGCTGGCCTCAGTACTGATAGGACTAAGTCCCCTTCCTTCAGTCCCTTTTGGGCGCGCCGCAGCTTCAGCGTGAACTAAGAGATTCGTGTTCACGGAGAGGGTGGTTCAGGTGATCAGTTTGATCCGGCCTACACTTGCAATTGTTCTGCAAGTGAGGTTACCTCCAAATTGGGACAGTAGGTTACAGTTTTTATTGAGTGAGTTGCCGTCTTGGGCCCCTCCTACCCAAACCTGTCACTACTCCCAAATTTGGGCTCGGATCTTACTCAACAGATTCTTTTGCTTGGTAATTAGTTTATTTTCTTGACTATTCTAATTACTTTGAGGAATTTCCATATCACTGAATTGACTTTTATTTCCAATCTTTTAAAAAGCTCCTAGGGTTTGATTTCTCAGAATGCGGGATGTTTGCTTAAGGGTCATTTTTAGGTTAACTTTCTTAAAGGCCTCTAAAGATAAAATTCAAGAGTTAAGACTTTGTGCAAAGTCAGGACCTTCTGCATGTAGGCCAAAACAATGGCCTAGATAAGAAGATAAATCTTGTCTTCTTCCTAAGCTGGCTAATGGGCAACTATTACAAACATTCAAACTATTACATTCAATATGACACCTGTAATGTTGATTCAAGGAAGTTGAGAGGCCATGTACACACTACTATTTTTGATACAGTGCATCTGTGTAGAGAAACTTCCTATTGGGAGACTGGGAGGCCAGAGTCCTGGTGGAAGCATTATGAAGCCATCTGCATTTTTTCAGTTCTTACTGACCTCAGCTGGATTTGAACAGAATCGCTACCAACAGATGATGATGGTCAACAGATGGTGACTTGAGGGACTTCACCCAGTTCTTAGTCGGCAGCTGTCTGCAGCCTTACTTGAATTCTTGAGAAAGGACCCAAGGACTAACTAGGTCTGGAGACTGCACTTCTCATCTACTGGGTAGCTTGGCCTGATCTTTCATGGGAATATTCAAGCAAGTTTTTCTACCCACTGTTTTGAAAAGACTTGTCATGAACATAGAGGATACCTAAGATTATACTGTCCTTTGATCTCTGTCTGGCACTATTCACAAGCCCTTAACTCGCCTAGCTCACCATTGGTTTCTTCTGAAATCCAGCTTCCATACTTAGATACCAGAGTAGCTTGAGCTCCATATACTCTTTAGTGTACTGTGCTCCTCATAGCAGTACCTCTGTAAGGAAAAACCATAGCTCCCAACTCATAGCAATAGCCCTGCAGGGAAAAACCAGAGCTCCCAGTTCCTATATTGGCAACTGAAGTGAAGACAGACTAAAGGGCCAGGTCCAAACCCCTCTCATAGGCACTTCTGCTTAGGTGCCTGACTCAGACCTGCACACTAGACTTCCCTGCCATCTTTGTATCTGTAACACCTAAAGAGGAGGCAGCTAATTTGGAGCAAAGTACAGCACCTGGGGTAACTCATGGGCAGTCTGGGGCAGCCAGTCAGAGCTGCCCTGTGCACTGCTGCCGCCATTTGTCACAACCAGTGCGGGTTGTTATCTGACTCCCCCAGGAACAGTCCAACCTGTATTACAATCCCCCTGGCACGGCTGTCTAGTGGACATGGAGGACCAGGTCTCTGTGATCACTCTACCAGCACAACTGCAGTTAGATCTAGAACTCATACTGGCAGAAGCCATAACAAAAGTTATGATGCAAGAATCAATAAAGAAACAGCAGTATGATTTACAGGCTAAAAGTGTACCTAAAACTTAATTAGATAACACTGATATAGTACAAACAAGATCTAAGAGGGGAAGGGACCCCTCACATCTAAGATACAACATCAAAATAAAGCAAAAGTGAGGCAAAACAAGACCCTTCAATTGTGAAAGCAGTGAAAGGTGTGGCAGATGTGGCGAAACACCAAGTCACCATTGTGACAACAATGTCCAGCAATAAATACAGAATGCAGGAGATGCCTCAAAAAAAGGACATTTTGCATGGGAGTGCAGATCATCCAGGCTAATGGAAATAATGTAGGAAGGGGAAGTAGCATCAAATGACAATGAGCCTATGCTGCTAGGTAGGAACTATTATCCTCAATAGAAGAATCAAGAAGTTTGTACATTAATATCGATCTCAATAGCTGAATAGTTACATTCAGACTAAACACTAGAGCTGCCCCTTTGAGGCCTCCTCCGTCCCCTAATAGCCTCACCCAAGCCACCAGTTAAAACAGCAAACAAAACCACAAGCCCCTGGGCTATAACATAAATCCTAGCCACCCGGCTATAACATTATTCAAACCCTACCAGGGAATACTCCATCCCACCACAGTATCAGGAGCTGCTCGTGCAGTCAGGCCTCTCCCCTTTGCTCCTCCCCCCTTGGCTGCCAGCAGGGAACTGCCAGCCTGGCCTCAGCCCTGGGTTTTAAATGTGAGCCAAGCCCTGCCCCTTCTGGTCAGCTGACTGCTGGCAGGTGTGGGTCACCAGCTAACTCTGGTTGCTCTGGCAACCAGCAGCTGGGGCTCCTCACTCACTGCTAGGGCTCTTCTCTAGCAGTTTCCCCTCTTTAAAAGGTGCAGGGCACCTAAGTGCTCTGTGACAGTCTGCTAGGTGGGACACGGGTCACGGCGGCAAAACTGGAAGTGCCACGATGGGACTCCCCCCCCGGCGCCCACTCATTGACCAGTGAGACCAAGAGGTTTTGACCTTCTGTAGGTGGGACATAAGGTGCAAAAGGTTGAGGACCACTGGTCTAGAAGACCTCTGTAGAGACTTGACCTTTAGGACAGGGATAGACATTACATATAAACTAGTATTAGTGATCAGAAACTGATTTAAACCTGTAACAGAACAGATGTTCAGTGCACATCAGCCAGTTTGAAAATGGCTAAAATTGGTTTAAGATAAACCTGGTTGAATGTAGTATCAGACTTAATTGATTTGGGTAAAACTGGTTTCTGCAATGTCTGCCCCAGACCTCTCACTGGTTTAAGCTAAACCAGACTCCCCCAGCATCCAAGCATGCTCTCTGGGCTGGGCGGGGCTCTCTGCTCCACAGCAGGGCTGGCTCCTCCCCTCTGCTCCCTGGCTACAGCTCCCGCCGAGACTGCAGGCACCTGGCTTCCCCCTGCTCCCCACCCCCCACTCCCTGCTAAGCAGGGATCCCCTATCCACTCTGCCTTACATAGACATCTCTCAGCATTAGCTAGCAGACCACATGCTGGCTATGGTCTGTGCTGTGGCAGAAAGGACACAGGAAGAATCAACAGGTAGCTGATAATGTCCCTCTGTTGTTTTCTTAATGGGGTGATAAAGCTGAGTTAGGGGTGATAAACACTGTGTTATCAATTCCCTGCTGGGCTGCTGGGGTGGGAACCCTTCCCTAATCAGAGCATCCTCCCGGGGCCTGGCCAAGGCCCCCTCAGCTCAGCGCTGGGGAAGGGAAGGGAAGGTTGCTCTAGTGACCCGACCCCCCCTCCCCCACCCCAACTTCTAGCCTGAGCCACTGCAGGCATGTGCCTGCATTTCTGGGATGTCTGTACAGTTACAAACTGATTCAGTTTAGCCAGGTTAGACCAACCTGCAAAAATAGAATCAATTCAGTCTCAGGCTTTTTGAATGTCCGTCCCTAGCCTTAGACATCCATTTATAGTTTTAGGTGTAGGTATTGGTTGGTATAGCAGTGTAAATAGTTGAAAGGATTATAGATTGTGGCTAATAAGTTATAATGACTTGCACTATTATCCTGTTTGTTATAAAGAAAGGGAGATGTGAGGCAATTGATTCTTCAGACTGACTAGAGAGGACCAGAGGCCTGTGTAAGGGGGACAAGAATAAAGATCTGACAGCCCTGGAGGCAGAGACAGATTACAACACACAAGAGATGGCTGCTAGGGCTGTACAAAGCTTTGATTGCTGATTCGATAAGGTAGATATTCAGCCTGATTCGGCAGCTGAATCTCTGAATCCGCATTGAATCAGGAGACCCTTTAATCTCTCCAAAGTGAATTGGAACCCTCCAAATCAATTCGGAGAGATTCAGAAAGATTCGATGATTCGGACAGAGGCACAGCTTTAAATATTTTTTCTACATACCGTGAGGTACCAGGCGTCTCATGAATGCTGCAATGCTG